GTTCCCATTGCACATGTATAGCGCCTTGTGTAGTCCTGTAATCCAAGCATGAGCTGTTCTCTTTCTTTCCATCTTTTTCTTCTTTGCTTTTCATTTTTGGAAGTTTCTACCATTTCTAGCATTTCTTTTTGATTCATTCCTTTTTTTTTTTTTTTTTTTGGTTTTTCTCTGGTACCAGGAACCAAACTCACGACCTTGCGCTTGCCAGGCAGGCGCTTTGCCGCTGAGCTAAATCCCCAGCCCCTGATTCATTCCTTTTGATTCATTATTAGAGTTTCCATTTCTCAGCTTATATTACCAATCTGTTCTTGTTTTCTCACAGCCCTCAGCATAGTAACCATGGCTATTCTTTTATTCATGGTCTGACAGTTCCAACAACCCTGCCATATCAGAATCCAATTCCGATGGTGTCTCTTCTAAATGTTCTATCTTTTTAAAATGTCCTGCAAGGTTTTTGCTGAATGTTACACCTAACGTACTGGGTAAAAGGAACCTGGTACAAGTGCCTGCAGCAGTTTCTGCTCATGGGAACCTGCTCTGGTGAATCATGATATCCACTATCCATTTGTCTAATGGGGGTGGGGGACAGATCTCTAATGGATCTAAGAAGAGCTAAGAAGAGTGGTTGGTTTTCAGTCCATCCATCTTCTCTCTTGTTTTGAGAACAAGAGTGACAACTTCTAAACCTCTTATGTGCTAGAGTGGAAACTGGAAGTCTGATATCCATGTGCTTTGACACTTCTTGCAAGTATAATCCTTTATTCACCAAATAACCTTGTCAGTTCTGTAAAGATCAACCACATAGGGTGTGTGTGTGTGTGTGTGTGTGTGTGTGTGTGTGTGTGTGTGTGTGAGACTATTTTGGGACTTTATTCTATTCCATTGATCCCATATTTTTCTGTATATCAATATCACACCTTACTGATTACTGTTAACTAGATAGTAAGTCTTGAAATCGAGCACTATAAGTTCTCTAATTTTTTTTTTTTACTACTGTTTGGATATTCTAGGAAATCCTATTTATTTTCATATAAATTCCGGAATTGGCTTATCAATTGCTTTTTTTTTTTTTTTTTTTTTTTTTTTTTTGGTGGTACCGGGAATTGAACTCACAACCTTATGCGTGCAAGGCAGGCACTGTGCCACTGAGCTATATCCCCAGCCCCTCAATTGCTGTTTTTAAAAAATATCTGCTAACCCTTTTCCTCTTCCTCTTCTCTAGTAATTGTCTCCTACATTCTGTCATCTGTTTTGGGTTTTAGAGAGAACGTGTGCTATTTGCCTCTCTGAGTCTGGGTTATTTTGCTCAATATGACGAGGAAGTATAAGATAGGGTAGTAAGAGTCATGAATATGGTCAAAATACGTTATACACACCCCCCAAATGTGAAACTAAGGGAAGGGGAGGGTAAGGGGTGATGGGGGAAATGATTAAAATGTTAGAGGCATGTACAAATCTGCCAAGGTGAAACTCATTAATATGCATTAATGATAAATGTGGGGGATATTTTATTGGTTTATTGTTTTCTGAATGACTTTTTTTTTTTTTTCCAGTACCGGGAATCAAACTCGTGACCTTGCCAGGCAGGCGCTGTGCCGCTGAGCTAAATCCTCCTTTTCTGGTAATATAGTGTTCATCTGAAGTTGGTATCAGTCTAATGCTGACCATGTGAACCAAATCAGGAAACCCTCTACCTCCTCTGTACTTTGAACCAGTTTGTGTTTGAGCTTGTTTATTACTTAAAAGTTTGATAAAATCCACTATGAAGCCTTATGGGCCCTGAGTCTCTTTTGTGGAAAGATTTCAGGAATTGAGTTTCTGTGATAGACTTGGAACTATTTATATTTTACTTTTCTGGTGTTGATTCTTGTATTTTGTGTTTTTCAAGGAAATTGTCTCCTTTATTTAAGGTGCAAAAGTTACTACCTTAAAGTTCTACGTAACATTCTATTATTATCCTTTTTAACAGCTCTAAGATCTGTATTGATGAACTCACTTTGATTCCTGATATCAGAATATGTGTGTTTTGTTTCTTTTTTCTTGATCAGTCTGGCTAGAGGCTCATTGATTTTTTCCTGACTTTTTAAAAGCATAAGCTTTTGGCTTCATTGAATTTCTTTAGTCCAGTGTATGCCCATTTTCTAGTTCATTGATTTCTATTCTTTATTGTTTCCATCCTTCTACTTAGGTTTTAATTTGGTTTTCCTTTTTCAAGCTTTCCTAGGTGAATCAATGGTAATTTGAGAGTCCCCAAGTCCACCCCCAGTTCAGTGGTTTCCTCAGAAGATTGACAAGATTCAGCCTATATCCATACTTCTTGTTAAGAGTCATGACAGAAAAGGATGCAAAGCAAAACCACAAAGGGAAAAGGCACATGGGGTGAAGTTTGAAGGGAACCACACAAAAGCCATGAGAATCTGCTGGTGTGCCATCACACAAGATGCACCTAAATTATTCTAGCAGCCAGTTAGGAGAACCCCTGTGAGATCTGTCTTCCAGGGAGGTTGATCAAAGGCTCTGCACCTAGGGTTTGCCTGCGGGTTCCCACATAGGGGATCTCACTGCTATGTGGCGTAAACCAGTATTCCAGATTCCCAGTGGGAAGGCAGTGTTTTGTACAAAGCATCTTGTTTCCAAAAGCAGTTCAGCCACAGCCAGTCACTTTTATCGGGAAGTGACCTGCTGAAATCCAAGAGGGCAGGTGCCAGCCAAGGACCAACGCTGCATGCAGAGCTTCCTGGGGCTCCCAGTCTCAGCCCTGCTCTGCTAACTCCTTTCTGCACTGATCTTTCAAATTTTTCATTCTGTCAACATAAAGACTTAAAGCTATGTATTTCCAGCCATTCTTCTAGCTGCACTGCGTAAATAGACATATTATATCTTTGTGTGTTCATTCACTTCAGAATATTTTCTGATTGCTCTTATGATTTCTGTTGTTCTGTCTTCAAGTTCCCACATCTTTTTGTTTGCAGGGTGTTATCTGCTACTCATTTCTTCCTGTGAAATTTCCATTTCATATATTATATTTTTCCACTCTAGAACTTTTGTTTCTTTGTTATGGTTCCTATTTATCTCTTCTTTATCTTTTGTAATATTAAGTTATATTAATACATCTTTGCAGTACATATTGATGACATTCATCACAGGGAGCTGGGACATGTACATAATGCATTTTAATTCTTTTTACTTCCCCTTCCACTCCTCTCCCTTCCCTCTTTGTTATCTTCATGTTTGCTCTTAAAAGCCTTTTTGGTAGCTACCATTTTAATGTAGTTGTTAATTCGTTACAACATTTTTATATATTTGTTAATCCCATAATCTCTGTCTTCTAGGTCTGTTTCTATTGAATCATTTTCCTTCTAGCCGTGAGTTATATTGTCCTGCTGTCTTTCCTGTCTGGTAGTTTCTGTTTGGATGCTGGACATTGTCATACTGCATTTTCAAGTGCTTGGATTTGTTCTCTTCCTTTAAAGAGTGCACTATTGCTCTGATTGGCAGGTAGTTGACTTGTGGGTCAGGTTGCTCCTTTTTAGGCTAATTTTAAAGCATTGTTAAACGGATCAATGAAGCTTCTCTGCCCTGACTGATTGCGACTCTGAGTCACTCAGCTCTGTCTGAGCATGACCAGTGTCCAGTGCTCTGGCCAGTTTCTCTGGCTTTTTCCTGGCCACACTGAGTCTCACCCTAGGCACATGCAGCTTATAATTCAGGCACAAGGTCAGGAGGACACCTGTGCAGCCTGCTGGAGCTTTTTCTCAGCCAGCTCCCTCCTCTCTGGTCTCTGCCCCCACTTCCAGGCTTTTCAGCCTCCATCTCATCACCTCATAGCCTGTGATGTTCCACTCGGGTTCCCACTGTCTGTTTAGTGGTCTGGAATGGGTGTCGAGCTAGAAAACTGAGACAGTGATGGAGTTTTCCTTCTCTCAGGAACAGGTGATTTGTTCTATGTGAAAACAGATGTTTCTTCTCCTTCTCCTCTTCTTCTCCTTCTTCCTCTTCTTCCTCTTCACTTTTCTCTCTTCCTTTCTCTCCTCTTCCTCCTTCTCCTCTTCTTCCTCTCCCCCTCTTCTTCTTCCTCTTTCCCTTCCCCCTCTTCCTTCTCTTTCTTCTAAGGTAGGGCTTGTTACTGTGGTATGGCAAGAAGTGGACTCACTGGCCATCTCTTTTGGGCTCCCACACCCATATTTGTGATAAGCAGAGGTTGACAGAAAGAGGCATGGATGAGGGGATCTTAGAACAGGCTACATAAAGGAAGGTTGTGTGTTCACAGCACATTCAGGGTGGCAAATGTGATACATGTGGAGGTTAGAGGTAAGCCAGGATAGCAGGAGTAGGCAGGACTGTGTTAGCAAAGGAATGGTGGTCTGGGATCTCGCATATCATCCTGGAGGTCTTGAGGAGACTATAACTACCATCATTATTGTAATTATAATGACAATAACATGTAACTGGTTAATTTCTGAGTCCCAGGAACAACCCTTGGCTCTTTCTATAAATTTTCTCATTTATTTCTCTAGCCAGCTCAGGAGCCTCTACAGCGTCACTAGGAATTACCATGTGCCATGCGCTTTCTTTAGTACTTTACATACAAATCTCACTCAATCTCTTAATAACACCATTACATGTATAGTTAGGTCTATTTTACAGCTCAGAGAACTGAGGAACAGAATGGGAAATGACTTGTGGTCACACAGAGAATAAGTAGTGATTGGGGTGACTTTCTTTTCTTCACAAATACTCAATAGCATTGTTATAATAATAATGTTCTTACACTACCAAGGCACTACCTTCAGGTTATCCAGGGTCTGCAGCTCTGTTACCATAGACACCATGGTTGTTGGTGCCCAAGGCCATCATGCCTGGTGGACATGGCATTGCTTGACAATCAAGCTAAACTCACAATGTTTAAGAAGAAGTTCTGACATTCTTGGACATTTCTCCCATCAAAAGATGGCCTCTAATTCTAAAGGGTTGTCTTTTGTGACTGTCTCCTGGTGGCTAGAAGTGGCAGGATTGATGTTGGGTGACTTCTGAGATATCTAAAAAGGCAACTCAGTTACTTGCCTGAATATTTCTCTTGAGACTCCAGCCTTGGGAGCCCTGATATTTTTCTTGTCCCTGTAGGATGCCTCTTCTAGGATATCATATGATGATTCCAGTGTGTAGTGGTGGTGTTTGGCTTTTACTTAGTGCATTGCTGTAGAGAAGCATCCACACTGCTGTGTGCGTCAGGAGTTTGGTCCTTTTCACATGTGAGTAATTTGGTGACCCATTCATTTGTCACTGGTTTGGCCATGGGGGCTGGAACAAGATGAATGCTCCATGAATGTGCATTAAGTGTCTGAGGAGGTGAGTGAAAGCGGAGGTGGAGATGCATCTATAGATCTGTTAGGACCTGGCTTTGAGGGAATTGGAGGAGGAGGTGATGAGGAGGTAAGGTATAATGATTGTCACTGCCTAATTCACAGGTATGCCCACCACTGTGCTACACTGTGACAGACGCTTCTGCCCACCCTGAGTGGAGTGTTGGCCTGAGAGGCTAATCACTCACGAAGCAGGTAACATCTGGGCGGTAAGTTCCCAGAGGAAGGAAGGGAAGGCAGGTGGGGATGGATATGGGGACAAGTGAGGGCGGAGATGGTGGGGGCAGGTGAGTGGGAAGTACAGTAGCCAGCAGGGCAGCCACTCAGGGAGAGTTCAGCAGATCTCCCTTTGGAATGCCAAGAGCATAGAATTTGGTGTCTTCTGCCCAGGGAGGAACCCTAGTGTGAAGGCCCTTGTGGGGGATGAGTCCAGTGTGTGTGGCGAGCGGCCAGGTGGGCTAGAGGGTGTGGGGCGCATCAGCCACCTCATGCTGGGCTTCTACTGGGCAGATGATTGGGAATCTGTTGTCATTGTGTCAGGTGGAAGGTGACAGAATTAGGGTCTTGTTACTTGTCAGTGACAAAAGGACTGAGAATGTGTGTAAGGGACTGGAGGGCAGTGTTCCAAGTACTCCAGCTGAGGAACAGCAGGGACCTGAAGGAGCAGGGGCAATGGGAACAATAGATTTTACACCAACTTAGAGGTTGCCCTGCCAGGATCTGGTGACTGGTTTGATGGGGGTGGGAGGGGACTAAGACTAGCTCCCACTCTGGGAACCTGGAGAGCTGACTGATGGTAGCGCCAGACCTGGGAATGGGGTAAAGAGGAGATGAGTAAGTGTGGGAGCTGTGAGATTAGTGTGCCTGCAGGATTCCACATGGAACGTACACGAGGCAGGGCTGGACACAGACTTGGAAACAGGGCACACGGGGGTGGGGTGGGGTGGGCTTCCCTGGAAGTGAGCCAGGAGGGCGGAGGACGGCAGCACAAGGTAGAGACCTGAGGTCTCAGCAGGCAGTGGAAGGACAGATAAGGAAGGATGGTGTGGAAAGGCGGCATGGGGGGCCCAGAGGTTGTGTTGGGAGCCCGGAGAGTGTGGAAAGCAGCGTGGGCACCAGGAAGTTCTCCATGCAAGGGTAGTCAAGTGAGCTCCTCTGCAGGACACAAGGACAACCAGTTCCTGGTGACTTTAGAGATTAACCCCTGGGAGAAGTGGCAGAGGGGAGACAGCCTGAGACACAGCTCTTCTTTGCAGTGTGGTTGCTGACAGGGGTGCAGGGTCCAGGGAAGCTTCAGATGGGGGAGCCGGAGTGGCAAAGCTGTTGGTAGGGGGCATCCCAGGCATCTTCTGCTGTGGGTCAAACCCCCAAACTAGGGCCTTGTGGCAGCAGCCATTCATCACCACTCCCCATTCCCAGATTGTCTGGGCTCGACTATTGCTTCTTCTGGTTCATGCGGAACAGGCATCTGTGCGTTGATGTGGGTCATGGCTTGGAGCTCAGCTGAGGCTGCCACCCAAATGTCCTGTCCTTCCACCATGGTTGGGCCTCTTCTCTTCTCTCCTGACCACTGGGCTCCTTTTCCAAATGATCCAAAGCAGAAGCCGCAGATGTCTTAAGACGCAGTGTTGGAAGTCACACTGTGCTAGTGCTGTCGTATTCTATGGGGCAGTGCAGGTTGAAGGCCAGCCCAGATTCAAGCAGTGGATGTGAGAATGGACCCCCAAGTCTTAGGGGAGAAGCTGCAAAGCACTGAGCAGTCTTCAAGGAAGAGTGAGCCTCCGAGGACTTAACCGAGGGATCCACCGTGACATGCTCTGATAGGGCACAGGGCACCTCTGCTGAGCATGGCTGTAGAGAGACGAGGTTTGGGATGGGGCTCCAAAGGAGAGGGTCAGATTGGTGCTATCAGCAGGATCTGAGCACCTCAACCAATCACAAGGCTCCCAGTGGTGGAAACCACTTGGAAGTCTGCCCTCCCTTTGTAGGCTGGTAGTGGGAGAGAGTAGCCAATAACAGCATTTTATTGAGTGTTAGTATGTGGCCTTAATCAATTCTGCCACGGGCCCTAGGAGGTGAGTGTTGTGATGCTCCTTTTATAGGTGAAATAATTGTGGCTCAGTGAATCTCTCTCCTCCTCTACTCTACTCTCTTCCTTTCTCTTATCTTTTCTCTCCCTTCTCTCCCTCCCTCTCTCTTCTCTCTGCCTCTGTCTCTCCTCGCTCTTCTCCCTGTCTCTCCTCTCTGTTCTCTCTCTGTCTCTTTCTCTTTCTCTCTGTCCTTCCCCTGGATGAATGTCCGCACTGATTGTCTGCACACAAAAGCTATTTGCTGTCTTCTGCCTCAGGAGCAGGAAGGTGTCACAAAAACTCCTGAGAGGAGGGAAGCCGTAATAGATGAGACTTTCACAACCCTCCTCCCCCAGGAAAGTGGGGTCAGGGTGTGAAGGCAGCCTCAGGGTGGTCCTCAGGCAGAACAGAGCTTGGGACTATGAGGTCCATGCCCCCTCAGCACAGAGGCGAGGAAGAAGGAGGAGATGGTTGGCTGCAGCAACCGTGGACTGGTGACCACCATTCCCACCACCCTAATCATACTCTTGTGATATTAATAAAAATAATTTATGTCATGTGACTGCTTTTTAACTAGCTGCTTTCAAGACTTAAGACTGGGATTATAAAAGGCATGCATTTATAAATTATTAGCACAGAGCTCATAAGCACATATACTTTGGGGAACACTTTGGTAGCACTTTAAATTAATTTATTGTCATTCATTCCAGCTGTCTGTGATGTAAACCTTCAGCTATAAATTTGTACCATCATCTGACACACCATTAACTAAGGTGCTGCCCGAGCCAGAGAACATAATAAAACATTCAAATACAATTTCTGTAGGGACGAATGTCTTCCCTCTCCTCCCTCTCCTTTCTTTTCTTCCCTCTCCTCTTCCCCGTCCTTCTCCCCTGTCCCAGTGACAAGCAAAATTGTGAGAGAAGGCAGGTGCTTGGGAGTTGGCCCTCCATAGAGCTCAAGGGGCTCCATCCCATTGCACAGGTAAGCATCAAAAGTCCAGAGAAGGCTGGGGTCTAAGAGCCTACAGTCAGTGGAAACCATACTGCCCATCCCTCTCAACCACCTCACTGGCAGGCAGGCTGAATCTATGCTGCAGGAACCTTGGCCTGGGCATAAGCGGGCTCCAGAACTCAATGAGAAGATTGGAACAAGGAATGAGATTTGAGAGGTGTTTCTGGAGGTGCAGTCAGAACTGAATTCTGAGGAATTCTGGACAAAGGGGAGAAAAGAATACAGAAGGGTTCATTCCATGACTGATGCCTTTAAACACCAAACAGGCAAAGAGTGACTATTTTGGAGGATTCAGGGGACAGAGCCCATGCACTAGAAATCAGTCCTGGGGGGAGCTGGGGATTTAGCTCAGCAGCACAGTGCCTGCCTGGCAAGCGCAAGGTCGTGAGTTTGGTTCCCTGTACCGGAAACACACACCCCCACCACCAAAAAAGAAAAGAAATCAGTCCTGGGGGACAATTTAGAGATCCACAAGGATAGATGTGGTAATGATGGAGTTGGCATAATTTAGAGTTAGCTTCCCATCCTTGCAGGGCTTTGGGGCACATGGATGGTGTACTGGCTTCCTATAGTCACTGGACAAATGACCATAAAAGGTGGGACCTAAAAAAGAAAAGGTTTACTGTTGTCTTAGTTACTTTTCTCTTGTTGCTGAGAAAAAATACCCAACACCCAAAGTTAAAGGGGGAAGTTTATTTAGCTCACAGTGTTGTGGAGGTTTCAGTCCATAATGGGCTTGCTGCAAGGCTGGGTGGCACATGGCAGAGGGCCAACAGTTAATGGTGGCAGAAAACAGCAAAAGCAAGAAGAGAGAGAGGAGGGGAACAAGGCTCTTTCTGTCCCTTATGTTGTATGCAGGCTACCCACCCTAGGTTGGATGTAGCACTCATACCCTGAACCCCAGCACACTGCACTATGAATGTATCAAAGGACATCACACACTCTAGATTCAGCTACCTTCAAAAAGTTTCATCTAAAACTGTATGAGGCTTTGGGGGGACATCTAGGCACAAACTGTAACATTCCACCTCTGGGCCCCCAAAGACTCATGTACATTCTTTTACACAAAAGACATTTAGTCCATTTCTAAGAGTTGCTGAAGTCCTAACAGTTTCAGCATTGCTGCAAAGTCTAAGTCCTAAGTCTCCTCCAAAATTTAGGGCAAACTCTTAGATGTGAGCCCCTGTACAAATGAAAAGAAAGTTAAACATTCAATGGCACAAGATAGATATTTTCATTCCAAAAGTTACAAACAGGGGTATACAAAGAAATGGGACCAAAGCAAGTCCAAAATCCAGCAGGAAAAGCATTAAGTCCTGTAGTTCCACGTGCAGCATCTGAGATAATCTATGGCAAGATGTGAACTCCAAAGGGCCTTGGTGGCTCCACCCCTATGGCATTTTTTGGTAGTTGTAGCTCCCATGGCTTCTCTCTTTTTATTTTTTTTAAAATTTAATCCATGGCTTCTTGTTTGGGATGGCTGTGTTCCCTCCTTGCAGTTTTCCTCAGATCATCCACATTCCTGGCTTCTCCAAATTTCTGGGGTCTCCACTGAGCCTTTGGCTTCACACTCACAGCTTCACACACTGCCCTCTCAGGGTCACACTGCTTGGCCTCCCAGACCTTCTTCTGAAATCTGAGAGGAAGCCTTCTTGACCCCACAACTCTTGCATTCTGCATGTACCTAAAACCAGCTCCACATGGATGATGCTACAGTCTGCTGCCTGCAGAAGCAAAAGCCAGGCTTCCCTCTCTCTTGGTTGTAGGGGCCACGTGCCTGGATTGCTGAGCACTCTAAATCCAATTCTGAAGAATAAATTCTCTAGGCTACCTCCATTCTGGAACATGGTGCTTTGGGGCTGTCTTCTCAAAGCAAAGTCTTTCACTTTTTTAATTTTGAGACTGTAAACGGTGGAGTCCTGCTGCTTCTTGTGATGTCCTCAGGCCATCTTTTCTATTCTGTTCCTTCTCAGCAATCAAGCTCTACTCTATCTTTACAGTCCAAGCTTTACTGGCTTCCTTTTTGGCCAAACTCACACATTTTAAATCATTCTGCTGTGCTCTTTGCTCTTGATTCTCAATATAAATTTGGCTAAAAGTCCCCAATAATAGCCATGCCACTGCTTCAGCATTCAACTGCCTTGAAATTCTTCTACAGGATTAATTAATCAATTGCCCTTCATCTCAATCTCAGGCAAATCTCTGGACATGAGAAAAATGCTGACAAACTTTCTGCCAAGCCATAACACACATGTCTGGAGTCCAACCACCAGTGTAGTCCTTCTTTCCAGCAGAAACCTTCAGAGCCTGGTCTTTATTGGCTTTCTGGTCTTCTGAGCTGTGATCAGAATCTCCTATACAGAGCAGCCTAAAGTGTTACAGCTCTACTTTTTCAGCTGGGATCTCTGAATCATTCCAAGAGGTATAGTGACAGCAATGACCCCACTTCTCTGGTACCAAATTTGTTGTAGTCAAGGTTTGCAAAGAAATAGATTTAACATAGGGCACATAATTTATAGTTTTTTTGTTTTTTTTTTAAATAATATTTACCCAAAGAGTCAAATGCAGAAGAGTGCCAGAGATCTGTCCACACATTAGAAAACCAAAGAATCCAACTGAGGGCCTGGATCCCACAGCAACATCCTGCACGAGTCAAGATCAAAACCTAGAGCCCATGGCAATGTCCTCCACAAGTCCAACTGGAGGCCTAGAGACCACAACAATGTCTCATGCAAGTCTGTACCAAGGATCTGCACTGGGAAGGCCCAAAGGTCAGTGGTAGATGCTAGAAAGTCTGTGTCAGTGGGATAAAGGATCTGTGCCAGCAGGCTGAGGGATCTGCACTAGAGCTAGTAAGCAACACTGAAAGTGATAACCAGAGATCCTCTCAAAAGAACCACAGCCATCCTCAGCGATAGCAAAGATCTGAGCTCTTCTGATGATGAGAACAGCCGAGTTCGTATCAGGAAAACCAGCATGACAAGCTTCTCTGGGAGAATCAAGAGCAAAGAGCAGAGCGGAATGATTTAAAATGCTGTGAGTTTGACCAATAAGGAAGCTCCATTAAAGCTGTGGACTGCAAAGATAGAAGAGAGATCTTGGTCAGAATTCCAAAATGGGTCTCATGAGGTTAAAATCAAGGCATCGGCCAGACTGCTTTCTTTCAGAGACTCTAAGAGAAAATCTGGTTCTTTGCTTTTTCCAGTGTTTGGAGGCCACCACATTCCTTGATTTTTTCCTTCAAAGCCAGCAGTGTTAGGCCAAGCTCCTCCCATGCTGCCACCTCTTGGGTACCTGGGATGACGTTGGGCCCTGAGTATAGGACATCATCTTCATGTCAAGGCCAGCAGGCTAGCAGCTTCATTCCATATGCAGTTCCTCTTTCCCCATAACCTAATGCTTCCCGGATTTCAGGGCTGGGGTGTCCCTCTTTGGAGGCCATTATTCTGTCTACTGCAGACAAGCAGTAAGGACACCGAGGTCTTCCTCACGAAGAGATCTTGTCTAATCTGAAACCAGAGGATATTTTGATGCTGCTCTTCAGCAAGAGGGTGTGCAAGGAAGAAGGAGGAAGAGCAAACAGGAGAAAGACAAAATGGAGGAGAAAAGGAGCGTGTGGAGCAGGAGGAGAAGATAGGGTCAGGGATAGTACACAAGCAAAGGAAAATGGGGCAGAACTAGATGTAGCAGCAGGAGGAGGACAGGCTGGACATCTGAATTATGCCTTTTATGTGTCTGGTAGCTTTGGCCCCACTCTGCACAAGGTCTAGCCACACTTCAGAAGGCGTGAGCTCACATTCCAGCCTGCGTGGACCAGCTCTGCAACCAACATCATGTTGGCTTGTTCTGGCCTTAGTTTCTCCAGTGGTAAAATGAAGTCTGCTGCTTTTCTACTTGGCCCTGGCTTTTCTACTTCTCCATATATTGCCAGTCCGGGGCAGCAGAACATGTGCTTAGCATGCTTGAGGCCTGGTGATCCAACCCTGGCATAAAAAAAAATCCAAATCATCAGTCTAGAGTAGGCCCAGCTGTAGGAAGCTGCAGGGGATGCCATGCTGGGGCCACACCAGGATGGTGAGGAAGTTCTGAAAGTGCCGCCTGGCAGATAGGGACAGCACTGTCCCCCAGAGGCCAACAGGCCATCGCTGCTTTGTGATGGGCAACCTGGGAGACTCCACTCTGGGCGCTGTGGCTATGTGACTGTGGCCAGGGGACTATGCCAAGGGACTGTGGCCCCTCCCCATGAGGCAGGAGCAAGGTACCCCCATTCACTACTCAGCCTTCTTGCCCTGGGCCCTAGAAGCCCTAGCCATCCTAGAGTTAGTACTGGTGGTGCTGTAGCAGCCTGAAAGGAGCCCTGGGAGGATTTTCTATCGGCATCTTCTTCTCCCACCCTAAAGGCCAGGACTGTGCCTGTCTAAAGCTCCCTCGGTCCCTGGTTTCTCTGAGCTCTAATGGATGACATGACTAGCTCGGATGGCGATAGTACTGCCACAGGGCTGTTGGCAGGTAGGGTGACACTCACAGCAGCGGAGTTTCCCTCACACA